CTTTTGGGCGCTTTTGAGCGAAGTATGGCCACTGCCTAAATGTTTTGGGAAGTATTCCAGGAAATGTATGTAGAAGTTTATACGGTTCGCCCATTAAGTTTCACAATAAAGTAGCAAATAAGAACTTCAGAAAGCATACGACCTACCGGTGGATCGTATCCGTGAATGTGTTAAGAACTGATTGGACACAGTAGTAGCGATCGAAAAGCTCGCTCATAATACAGAATAACCTAAGATTCTACAAGAGCCGTTCATTTTGTGCTCATCAACGCTTTTGGGAATCTATAAAGAAACTTCTAGGTCAGGTAAATGCACACAGGCATAGATATGGCCAAATCTAAATCATACTAAATATAATATTTGTTATAATAAGTCATAAAAAAACTTGTTATGAGACAAAAATTGTGGTAATGCAACACCTGGCATAATAGACAATATGCAACAGCCTACTGTTATACTGATGCATTTTTAGGAATTCTGTTTCGAGTTTCCTAAACGTCCTTTAACGCGTCGAAGTACATGATCTATACATACTGCATAGGCATGTGCGCAATCACAGGTAAACCTGGATGGAAATGATAGCGCATGGTCGATCTCTCTGCTGACTAGTATGCCAACTCTATCATCTCTGACTTGATAGGAGCATTCCCATCTCCTATAGTCGTAAGCTACGATCCCGTGATTAGGTTTGGGAGGGGAGTAGCGTGTGTTATTGCGATGTTTGCTAGTCCTTCTTGTCCAATATAATTTATTACAAGCCCGATTTTGCTTCTCAATAAGCACTTTTTTAATGAACAGTTGTAACTAGGAGTAAGCTAGGTAATGCTGGTATATATCACTTTTCCTAGATCCCATGTCTTCACTAGCGAGAGGCGCTGTCGGAGTCAATAAGCCCAAGCCTGTCAATGTGAATAGTCTTTACGCCGGTCGCAACCTCGCTGCGGGATCAAAACCTCTAGGTGAGCCTCTATATGAACTTAAGATTGTAGTCATATCTGATGCCATGAGTATGCCATGCTAAGCTGTTGATTCAGTTGCAAGTTAGTTTGAAATTTCCATCGATTTCAGTACCGTAGTATAACCCGAGAAGTAAATAAGTGCGATGTGAGGAATTATTCTATCTGTGGCTAGGTCGCAATATGACAAATACATAGGGTAAATTTATCCCAAAGCAAAAGTTGCCGCAGCGTTTGTGAATGTTGCACCATTAGGGAACGGCCATAGGTTGCCGGCAAGTGTTGTCGAGGTTGCCGGCGTTGTAGGACCTCTCCGCGCGTTACGTGCTCTCTAAGCGGCTCCGCCTCCAGCAACCGTGGCCGGCAACCGTTGCCCGTAACCTATGGCCGTTCCCTTACTGTTACCAAGATATCGGCCGCATCATAGTGCTGAGGTGAACATAGCCTGTGTGTCTCAAAGCTTTCCGAACAGGTACGTGTAAAATTCGCTGACGGTAATGGTGTGACTCAATCTTGCATTGCGGGCTTGAAAGCAACGTTGATGGTTTTTATTTTCTCAAGAATGAGATCACAGTTATTCTTTATATAACTTTCAGGTAAGCATGGTCTTACTTCAGTTGGAAAGAGTGTTGGCGTCGTTCGACGAATGCCACCGCCAGCAACTCTTCCTTCGTTGAAGGCAGAAAATAATGGACAAGACCCTACAACTGCTGTTGTTCCACAAGGTACATGCTCGAATATTTGAAATGCTGCTGTTTTAGAAGCTCCCGACTTTTATCAAATTTTGTTTTGGTGGTGATTTCACCCAAGATAAACTGAAGTAGTTTTTTATACAGGAGGAACTGGTTGGTGCAAAAACGAAACCGGAGCAGATCCTGGAGATGCCGTTAAGGCATCAGCTGTGAGTGTATCAGGCGGACCGGACTTGCGCCCAACGTGGGCAAAGCCATCTTCGGATGTGTTATCCAGTGGGAATACATCGACGAGAGAGTTTCCCACACTCGCTGTTGCAGCACAGGGAACTGATCTCCCTCATAAGCCTCCAAGTAAACTTTTTTGATTGCCTTTTTTTCTTAAATTCTTTTTTTTT